TAGGTACGGTTTTTCTGGGTCTTCTGGTTGGTCATCACCATGGATAATTTCTGTTCCATTTTCATATGTTACATGGCCACAATTGCCAGTAGACCAAACATGTTCACCCACAACATGGTGTAGGGCTGAAAACAATGTTGTCTGTAAAATCAAAATTGTTAGGGTTGTATTTTAAAATGTATTTAATATTTTTTAATTATTTTTTTGATATGCATTCAAATTTATTTAATCTACCCAACAAAATGTATACTTTTTAATAATTATTAATATTTATGTGTGTTACAAATAACAACCAGATATTGGCATGACATATGATTGTTGTTTTGTGGTGGTGTTTGAAATAAAGAATAAACTTGAATACAAACCTCTAATCGGTTCAAATCACCCTTTGCCATTTGACATGAATACCAAAAATGATTTGCAAGCGGCTGTATCCAAGCCAATAGAGGTTTATTTTCTTTCTTCTCTGCTGCCTGAGAACAATAAATGTCTTATCATTTATTATTTTTTATTTGGAATTTAAAACGCAACAGACAAACTAGCTTTAAAATTGTAATGCTAAAGTTTTAAGTATAAAAATATGTAATTGTATAGTTTACCTCAAAGAGTTTCTTTACCAGATTTTTGCTGCCATGCCATACATCATATTGGTGTATCTTTTTGTTACATGTATCAGCAGAGTTGAATTGTCTTCCTATACGTTATGAAAAGACTATGTAATTTCATATGTGTGTGTATATTTTTATATATGTATATATATATATATATATATATATTTACAGTATATATATTTTCATTTATTAATTCAACACTAGATTTACCATACTATTGAGTACAGGACAAAATATTACGTTTCTTGAATAAATATTTTCGTGTTCTACTGTTTAACTCGGTGTTTTTGCATCGTTACCATGTGCAGCATAAAAACTCAGTTTAAAAACTTTCCATAAAGCCTTCATGTAAAAACTCACGCATATGTGCAGCAATTTGGACATGCGCGTCTGTAACTATTTCAGCGATATTTATTCCATTGCATTCAATAGACTCCATGCATCTAATGAATCCTAGCTTTTCCATATTTGGACTTTTAAGGTCCACTTCTCTCTTATCAACTATCTGTTGATCTAGGATGTCTCCTGAATTGTGTTCCATCATAGTGTATGTCAAATACTGGGCAGAATGCCCAGGCGAATCATTTCTGCCATCTCCTATACACCATAGATAAAATAATAAACACATAGACATCATGTAATAAAATGAAAAATAATGGTAGAGGGAAAAAATAAAATGTATATAATGCTAATAACCTCTTGTTTTTACATACCATAAACTATAGATAAATTTTAATATATAGTATTTTTATTTTAAAAATATATTTTTTTATTATACCAATAACTGCAATATCCTGTCCTACGTATTTTTCTAGGACGTCTTTCCTCATTTTTTGCCAATGGAGTTCCACTGTTGGGCAGACATACTCAGGCCCGTAGCCAGGGGGGGTTTTTATGGTTCGGGCGAACCCCCCTTTTCTAGCGAACCCCCCTCGAATTTTTGAATGAGTCCCACTCGGACGGAATGTCTGTTTTTAACTTGCCCAGCATTAAATCAAA